TCATTTTTGCAGCTTGTTTGTCACTCTATTATATCAGCTTTCACTAACCCAGAAGAGAAGTGAACACTAAAAGAAGGAAAACAAACATCTACAGTTTCCTTGTTGTAAGATGGGCAGCCAACGGATTTTACAAATAAATAAGTAAATAAAAAAAATAAATTCTGTGCAGGCGAAGTTTCCTTTAAGAACAGCAACAGCAGAAAATCCCTAACATTTTCAGAGTGTCAAGTCTTGAACAGGCTGGATTTTGTATCTAAAATTATATCTAATCTTATATTTTTCATTTATAGATAAAACAAAAAGATATCAGTTTATGCACCGCATGAATATAATCCTTCTGCAGACAGTCTGATGGTTTATTCTGTTTCAGTTTGTTTTTCCAGATAATTATATGTATGTCGCTACTTCTCTATTCCTTCTTAGTCTGAATAGTTGTTTTGTGATAAGAAGATTATTTTTTTTCCTTTCTCCCACTCTTTATTATCTCTTCTGCTTTTTTTTTTTTTGTTCTCTTTTGTTCTCCCCCAAAACCCCCCATTTCCCCTCTTTTAGGTTTCAGAGAAATTATGTTGAATCCAATAACCCTTCCTGGACATTCTAATCCTCTTAACCATCATGGCATTTATGTTGAGGATGTCAGTGTTTATTTCAGCAAAGGACGTCATGGCTTTTAAAAAGAACAAAAACAAAAAAACAAAAACAAAACTCACACACAATCAACAGTGCAAAAACAAAAAAAAGGCGAAAGACAAAAAAAAAGTTAAATAAATTTAAAAAAAAACCTCGAAAGGTTCCTTGTTTCAATGTCAAGTTTGTTGGTTGTGCCCTTTGAGAGTTATGGGACACTTCACAAAAGCATGGTCTGTACACAGATCAAAGCCACCGCCTGTGTGGGATTGGACCTCAGTATTGCATCCTGCTGGAAAAAAAAAAAAACCCAAGGGGGTGTATTTTTTTTGTTTTTTTCTTCCTGCCACCAGATCAAAGGAATGTTCTTCTCTTCTGCTGGTCCTCGTCGTCTTCTTTTGTCCATCGGTTGCCGTGTTGCTACAAGGCATACATAACAGGAGCAAAAAGCAGAGCAACATTTTTGTTGTTGTTGTTGTTGTTTAAGGGGGAAAAAAAAAGATAAAAGAGCATCAAAGGATATATACCACAACAGTTGCACTTTGCCTTTTATTTTTTTATTTCGTTTTGTGTTTTTTTTCTTATCTAAAAACAAACAAGACCCAAGCAACTGATCCCAGTCCAGCAATTTTAGCTGTGATCTTTTTCTGCCTGGGAATCCTTGTGACATCACAACGTTCAGTTAAGACCACCCAACTCTCTCTCTCCCTTGCCAGTAGTCAGATTACGGGAGAATAATCCAAAGCAGGAAGAGAGGAGACGACAGAAGATATTTTAACAGAGTGAAGACCTTGGGTAAGAAAAATAAAACTGAAGGCCACCTCCTCAGTTCCCACTTCTTCCCCCCCATCCTTGTATCCCATCTAGTTGTAAAGCTATTGTACCAGAACCTATACAGAAAGCAATCAAGGGGAAAAACTGGGCCGCCCTTACCCCCCCCCTCAAAAAAAAAAAGAGATGATATTGGTGGCTTTGTTTTGAATACAATATTTTTTTTTTGTAGGACGATCTTGTTTGTGTCTGCGCGTGTGAGTGTATGTGCCTTTTGTGCGTTCGACCTGCTCTTCGGCTATCTCAGTGTTCCGTTTTTGTATACCAGCCTCTTCCCTGCTACTTGTATAATGGCTTTATCTGGGGATGGGAGTTGTGTGTGCGTGTGCGTGCGCGTGTGTGTGTGTGAGTGTGCTTGTGGGATGGTGGTGAGGTAAGGTGCTCCTGGATTTCACACCTGGATGGATGAGGAAGTGGTGTTGCAGATCTCAACAAGTCTAGGGACAAAAAAAAAAAACTGCAGAAGAAATCCACAAGTTGTGTTTTTTTTAAAAAAAAAATTATCTCAGAACTGCAAACCAACAGTCTTTTCTGCCTTCCTGCCTCATTTTGCCTCCTCTTCTTCCATCGCTTTCCATTAATTTCTCACCAAGTTAGAGATGTATTATGATTCCGTCATACCACCCTGAATGTATGGCTGGCTCAAGGCATACAAACTAAGCAAAAGGAGGTTGGAATAAGACTCTTGTCTCTGGCATCGATGCAAACATTGATTCTAGACTCAGATCTCTCTCTATGTCTATATTCTTTTCTTCTTTCTCGCACCTTAACTCCATCTCAAAACCTCTGCCATGGAAGCAGGATCTCCATCCTGGAGAGAAATGTGTGGTTGTTTCCCCCCCCCCACATTTTCTGGTGGGAAAAAAAATATGGAATGATCAATATTAGATAACCTCCTTCAGAGTCTTGGTCAACTGTAGTGATAGAACATGGGTGGAATCACAGGGCTGGAAGGGATCCTGGAGGTCTTCTAGTCCAACCCCCTGCTCAAGGCCGAAGGCCTTACAGCATCCTAGTTGATTGGTCGTCCAGTCTATTTTTGAAAACCTCCAGCGCTGGAGCGCCCACAACTCCAGGAGGCAAGCTGTTCCATGGATTAATTGTTCTCACTGTCAGAAAACCTGTCCTTAATAAGCTTTCACCCATTCTACAGGAATATATATACAAATGCAAAACTTGGAATAGCACATATGTTTCCTATAGACACTAATGCATTCTAAGGCAACTCTCTTGGTGCTCCAGACTCCCTTACCCCACATTATTTATATTATCATTATTATTTCATTGAAACTAAAGGTGAACCCAGTACAGGTGATCCTCAATTTACCACAGTTCATTTAGTGACCGACGACACTGAAAAAAGGGACTTAGGACCATTTTTCACGCTTATGACCTCTGCAGCATCCCCATAGTTGTGTGATCGAAATTGGGATGCTTGGCAACTGGTTCATATTTATGATGGTTGCAGAGTCCCGGGGTCGTGTGATCCCCTTTTGTGACCTTCTGACAAGCAAAGTCAACGGGGAAGCCAAATCCACTTTACACTCATGTTACTAACTGAATGACTGCAGGGATTCACTGTGACAAGAAAGGTCGTAAAATGGGATAAAGTTTACTTAACATCTGTCTCCCTTAACAACTGAAATTCTGGGCTCAATTGTGGTCGTACGTTGAGGTCTACCTGTATGCTGCAAAATTAAGTATTAGACTCCAGCAAAATGTTTATCTGCTTCCAGACCTTCTGAGCCTTATAACCATCTTAGAAGTAAAAAAAATGTTTATCGTTGAAGCTAAATTTTATTTGGAAGAATACCTATCTCCTAGGAAGAAATAGGGAACAGCTGGGGGTAAGATTAAGGGTTGGGATTGGGAGCAACCGTACAACTTTGTCTTTTGATGAATTGATGTTGAGTGGCTGCCATGCTCATAATTTAGGAATAAGAACGTTCCCCAGGACAGCCATTTTTTAAATGTCCCACGGCATCCTCTCCAAATTACAAATATTCCCACTGACTCCGAAAACTGTGTGAGACGGTTATTAAGGAGAAGTGGTGAGACAGCTAGACCAAAAGTATTCGTTTAGATTTTTAGCTTGTTGCAGAGAATTATTTGAGCCATCAGATTTGCCAAATGTTTCTGCAGTGCTATATCGCTTCCAAAATTGCTTATCCTAATCAATTACTCTCTTGGGGTAAGATGAATGAAGACTGAAGCACGAAGACTGAAGATTTTACGAGTTAGGCATATTGCAGAGGCATTTTGTCATTGTGGGGTTTTCTTTCACACACACACACACACAAAAAAAAAAAAATCCTAAAAATGGCTGGAATGTCTTTTCCCGCAAATTGCAGAAGAAGTTTATTTATAAAACGTATCATTTTATTTATTTTCTTGCTGGTTTGCTCAAATAATCAAGTCAAGTGCAAAAAGCCACGGACAGCTTTAACAACCTGGAAAAGTAGCCACACGGATTCACCTGATTCTTAAGCTTGAAACAGCAAATCATTTAAATAAGAACTGAAAACCAAAATTGTAATGCCACTGTAGGTTTGCTTTTGTCAAAGCAGGGTATGTTGGAAATTAACATAAGTAACTGATCACTAGCTGGGGGTTGCACACACACACACACACACACACACACACACACACATATATAGCCTAGGTCTAAAGTTAGTTCAAGGCTAGATTTCTGGTCTTGATGTTATTTGTAAAGAATGCCATTGAACTCTCTGCCACCAAATTTGAGCTCCTTGTTTTCCAGACTTTTAATAGACGTGCCCTACTTTTTCTTCTGAATAAAAACTGGAAGCACACTTCGCTCCTACCTTTCAAAAAGTTTTATTTTATTGTGTGTAGTGTTAAGTTCCATCCGCCTCCGAGCACACAATTGTGTCTCGTTTTCTTTATGTATCGCCCGCTATTGTGTGTATTTAAACAATTTTCTTATGGCAAAGTATTGAGAAGAAGGAGCCTGGAAAACTGAGGAGCAGGTGATAATTCTTTTATTGGAAGGAATTAATATGATTAAAAAAGGGTGAAATGAATGAAGAATCAAGCCTTGGGCCATCAAAATTGGAGGCTTTAAGCTGCGAGTCTTAAGAAAGAGAGAGAGAGAGAGAGAGATGGTTTTTAATTTTAATTATTGTAATCATTACCTCATTATTGAATAAGAATTACCCCCATTCCAAATCATTTTTCCCCTTCTTTCCATGTTCATCATATTGTGCTATGAAAATGGGAACTTCCCCTTTCACAGAGACTCTAGAGGTCTTTATGTCTAGTTTCTTAATAAACACTTTATTTTCTAATTAAACTGCTGCACTGACTCTTTTCTTGGGAAGAACAAAAGGATCAATAAATTTCCCAGCAATGTGTCATTTTATTCATTTTGTTGGCACTGTTGGTAAGACAAAAGTTTGCATTTTTAGGAAGAGTGACATTTCTTGAGCTAAGGCATTATTCCTCTGCCATTTGTCTGGTGCAAACCATGCTTCCCTATTTCATTCTACCACTGGAAGCTAGACGTGCGAGCTGATTTTACAGAAAATCCTTTCCTCTGAGTTGTATGAGTGAAGCACGGCTGTAATCAACCAGCAGCGGATTTGATCATACCGCTAAAGTAATGAGCAATTTATGAAAATAGAAGAAAAAAAAACACTAATTCGTTATCAAGTCGATGAAGATTCTTAGTTGAAGTTTGTTCTTCTTGGGCAGGAGAAGGGAGCCCCCTGGAGGACGTTCTTGAACCTCACAGGATAAAGGAAGAATGCAAAGTACCAACCTAACACCCGACACCTTGATGGGGATATGCACTAAGTATAGTTTATTGGGATATGGAATCATAAACCAAACTCAAGCAAAGATATTATAGTTTGGTGTGCAGGGTCCTTGGTGCTTTCTGAGTTGGGTTGTTTTCTTGCAGATGTTTCATTATCCAAACTAGGTACCATCATCAGTGCTAGTTCTTACCATTTGCGTGCTTTCTGAAGTGCTTGATGTGATACTGATAAACTGATATTACCTAATTTGGGTAATGAAACATCTGCAAGAAAACAACCAAACTCGGAGAGCACCAAGGATTCCACAGTACTCCTCCTCCTCCTCCTCCTCCTCCTCCTCCTCCTCCTCCTCCAATCCCACTCCCTTCTAGTGCTGATGATGTTACTTAGCTGGGACATGAAATGTCTGCAAGAAAACAATCAAGCTCAGAGAGTAC